ATGATATATATATATATATATATATACATTTTTTCAAAATTCTATGATATTATAATTTTTGAAAGCTGTATCCGATCACTATTTCAACTGCTATTTGTGTTTTTATCTTTTAAAAGTCCAAAATACCTAGCCTTTCCATGATTAAAATTATCTTTGAATTTGTTGGTCCGCATTTCATCTATTTCTTATAACATTATATTGATTTTTAAATATAATTAAATCGTAATTTTATATTATATTAATTTATGATACTTAATTTTTTCAAATATTTTATGCTCGAACAGCAACTAATTAATCAAATAAATAATAAATTACTTTTAGTTTAGGCCCTTTAGGGTTTAGGGATCAACTTTAATTATTTATATAATTGAGTTTAAGCCAATTTTCTCCGTATCCACAGTCAAGCCAAACTGGCCGCTCCTTCTCTGTCCGCGCCGCCCACTTCCACCCGATTCATGCGAGTACCAGGCATTCAGTATCCTCTTAAATTTCAACTAAGCCGCTCATGGCTCCGCAGAGCCACCATCCTCATCCGCGCCCTATCATCGGAATCCTTGCCGAGCCAATCTCGTGGAGGCCTTCCTCGCTTCCACTCCCATATTCTCCCGTCATCCAAGGCTGCTTTTTTCTCCCTCTCTCTTTCTCTCTCCCCCCTTCACTTATTCTCTTTTATATTTCCTTATTTTTTTTGGACCAAGCTAGTCCTAATCGCAATGTTGACTACTGCTAAAATTTATGCAGGGCGAGATTGTCCGAGTTGAAGGAGACGAGTTCTGGCACATGACAAAGGTCCTGCGACTGGGCTTGAACGCCAGGTATTTCATTTCTCATTTCCGTATTTGCTTCTTTTGTTCAATGGTTTGGTCAAAAAGTGTAGGTGAATGGAAGAGTGAGGCTTTGTTTGGGACAGTTTTAACTTAACTGTTTTTGCTTTTAAAAGGTTTTTCTCAGCCACAATTTCAAAGATAATTTTACCAAAAACAGTTTTTTAAAGGCGAAAAATTGAAATAGCAATGATAAAGGTCAGAAAGCAATCTTCCAAATACACATTTTTTTTACTAACTATTTTTTTTATCATGAAAGGAGTCGAAAAGCTGTTCCAAATAAAGCCTGTGTAAGTAAGTGGCTCAATTTGAGTATGTACAAATGAAAAAAATAATTAGCTCTACCATAGATCAAGATCATAACCAGACAAGAGAAGTTGCTAGAAGTCTGCTCATTGCGTCTGATAAATCACTTATTTATAGATGATGGCATCCTTACTGAACAAAAGGTCCTAAAAAATGAAATGATTAGAATTACCATCAAGCATGCACTTTTTGTTGGCCTACATCGTGTTTTTTAGGCTAGCTTGGATTCTTATGATTAAAACTTACTATTATCTTTGTAGGGATTTGATAATCATTTCTCTTGCCATATTTCAACAATTTCTTTTTATCTCGCAAGCGATAATGATGCCTAAGGGATTGTAGGTCAGTTCATTAGTTCTAAATAATGGCGCTCAATTTCATGGAATGTTTATGAGAAAATCAATAGAAAAAAGGATAGCACACCAACTTTTTTCGGGTTAGAGATGTAAGGAGAATGGATAGTGCAAAGTAGAGGGAGGTTCTAATGCTGAGCTATACACTTAGAAATATAGGAAAAGATGATGGCTCAAGTAAATTCCTTTAGATCTAATAAAAGATGAGTTTATATATATATATATATATATTTCTTAATATTTACAAAAAAGTGTGGTGTGCTATTAAAGTATTTGTCGAGTGTGTACATTGAATTACAAAATCTTTTATTCCAAAAAAAAATTCCTAGGGTTGGGGCATGGAAGTGTTGAGAGCATTAGATGACTGATTCTTTGAGTCGATCTTAAATTCTAAAACTTAGAAAACTAGTTTTTAGCTTCAATATATGCTCCATAAATTCAATAATAGAATGAGCTATAGTCTTGGTTGATTGGCTCGTCTATAGTCTCAATAGCAAATCCACATCGAGTCCTCTAAGAACAACCGTAGGATGAGGTGTCACTGCATGTACTAAAGCCCTTGGAATTTTATTTGGTCCGGTTGACCGAATGCAAGAAACATCCGGTTGTAGGCAAAAACGCTCCTATACCGAGGTGTACCGAGTTTTTTGAAAAAACTCGGTACACCTCGGTATAGGCGCGTTTTTTCCTACAACCGGATGTTCCTCTGCATCCGGTCGGAGGACATAATAATTGTTCAAAGCCCTTTATCTCACTCAGAGTCTTCTAATGCAAAATGTTTATTTATTTTTACTAACATGTAAGCATTATATTTAAGACCTGATGCTCTTCTTTAGGGAGAATTGTTTAAAGTCACCAGTGTCTTCTAGGCTGAATGTCAAGAAAATTTCGCTAACTTATTATTAATTTTTTTTTTTTGACAAATTATGCTATTCCTATAGATACATTCAAGATTTCATGCGGTCCATGAGTGATCCTAAACTAACCTTGAAGTAGGGTTTACTAAATTTCTGAACAAATGGACATAGAACCATAAGGAATTAAATTCAGGGCTCAATAATAAGCTTAAAATCATCCCATAAGAGTTTCAAGTCATTTGGACTTGAAGAGTATTTCCAATGATTTTTCTAAGTTTTTAAGACCTAGGATTTCAACAATTAAAGGTCCTAAACAAGAATTCATGTTTTCAAAGTAATTGTCCTCTAATCCTAATGATTAGAGGAACTCACATCATTGAGGGAGTGTTGAGGGAATCTAAATTTTGCCTTGGTGCTTTGTACAACTTGTGCACATCTTTGAGGCATAACATGATAAGAAGCAAAAAATTGTGATTGCGATGCTTCATGCTTTGTACCCATACATGCTTTTGGATATGTGGTTATGATGACCTTGTAGTTCAGTTTCTAACACATCACGGGGTTGACGTAGAATGTTTAGCAAAAGATTTGATAGAACTTCTTGTACCAAGCTTACACAAGGGCTAAAATAATATTTGAACTTACAACAAATGAACGCATAACTATAAATTTGCATGCACTTGAACATTAATGAAAAAAAAAAGAGTATAAATGAACATAAAATGACACATAATAAAACAAAATGCAAACTTAAAAAAAAAAAGAACTCTAATAAGGAATAGGACTTGGACTTCGTGTCAAGCATATGTGATGTTAAATAGAGTTCTCCCTTACTTGGTATTTCAAATTAGTAGCTACCTCATAAAATACTCTTTAAGCATCCTAACTTATGCAAGTTGAGCTAAACCCTCATTGGGTAGCTGTCTATGATGTAATAAACTCCAATAAAATGAAATATTTCAAAATTATTTGTACACCTTGACCAATTTTTAACTGCATACAATCAACTTTGCTTGATTTAATACCTGACAGGATAGCAAGAGGAGGCGGGCACGAAATCCCAATCCCTCGAGGAGCTGCCGAGTGCCTCAATGGCCATATATGGTGCATTAAGTTGCACGATATATCCTGAGACCTTCAATTCAATCTCAGGTTTGGCCAAGATATTTGATTTTGTATTTGCAGAATAATTTTAGGGTCTATAATGGCCAAGATTTATCCAACATAGGATCCTAAATCCGCCTGGGTTTAATCCTTTGCAAACTAGCGGCGGAGTCGACAGGACTTATGGTCCCAGAATGATCATATAAATAATGAAAATAAAATCTTCTCATCCTAACCAGACCAATATATTCTGCCCTAGGACTTTCACTGCTGCAACCGACCACAGTTGATCAAACAATATAAGTAAGGTTCCTAGGTTGATTTCATAACATTGCATGCATATCAAGGTTCTTTACTTCAACTTATTGGCTTGTAAGGAAGATGAAATCCGTTTTTAAATAATTTTCTTCTCCTTTCCTCAGCTATTTTGCTTCACCCTCAAGATCTCAGCTCTAACTCGCTTGTTCTTTCTCTTAACTTATTGTAAGGGTGGAGCTCTTTAACGGAACAGGAGGTATAGTGGAAGGTTGTATACAGAGTATTGATAGGAATGCTTCAGTTGTTGTTGCCTTGGAGGAGCCAAAAGTTCTATGTCCTAATGGTATTCAATGGCATATATTTACAGCTTTTGGTAAGTAACATCGTGCTTCTTGTTTTTTTTCCCCCAATTTTGAATTCAATTTTCCAGGGTATATGCATTCTTCAAGCATTTTTCTTGTCTCACAATCAGGCAGCTTAAAAGGGGGTCGTGCGGATTGGCTTATTGAGAAATGCACAGTATGTACCCTGAACTGGGAATCTATATCATAATCTGTATGTCTCGATGTGAATGGTAATGTATTGCTAGCTTTTCTTAATGAAAAGTTCTGACAATTATCCTGTTCTTTCAAGGAATTGGGGGCCAACAGTATAACTCCTCTTCTATCTGAAAGATCTCCTTCAATTACAGATAATCGTGTAGACAGGTTGGAACGTGTCATTTTAGCTTCCATCAAGCAATGTATTTTCTCATTCTTCTATTTTCAGTAACCAATTTGTTCATTTAGTTTCATTTTTGTATGATCAAAATCATTTAGTTTCAGTAACCAATTTGTTTTTTATCTTTCAATTCCCTTATGCCCCATACGCTATTCTTCTACGACTGTGTATTTTTTGTATCTATGGTAGGTAAGCGTCTGCATAAGATGGCTTTCAACCATCCAATGAAGCTTAAAAAATTTCTTCCTTTTGTAAGTATTCAATATTCCTCTTTATTATTTGAGCATTGGTATGTATATTTTAATTTGATGACCTAAAACATAGCAAATGACAATTTAGTTCTTCTTCAGACAATATATGCTTCAATGAAGATTGCACTTCTTTTATAAATTGATTTGGTCACAAGGATCATCGAAGGGTCACATCCTATATTTAAGACCTGATGCTACCATTTTTTTCTTTTTCGTTGTTCTTTAGCAATCATCATTTGACTTGTGATTTAACATGTATTTTTTGCCTTCAGCATAATTCTGTGTCGGTTTGCCCCAAGTAAATAATTAATGAATCATGTGCATCATAAAAATTGATGACCTTGGATGGTGTATAAGAAAGGTTAATCAGGGATGATCTTTATTTCTTTTTTGCTAAAAGAGGAGTGGTGCTATTTTTTTGTGCTGGTTCCCTAACACACGCAGCAGCAACAACCATAATATTATCAAGCCTTTTGAAAGAATACTTACAGAGTTTAAGGTATAGCTGCTGTATAAAATATATTATAAATAGTAAGCGGAAAGAAGAAAGTTTACTTTATTGATTTTTCAATGATAAATGATACTGCATACAGTACATGCATTTATACAAGCTGAAGTAGTAGAAAGGGAAATTACAGGATTGCCATAAGGTAGTTAAAAAGTAGCGGTAGAGATTAAAGAATGTCATGTGGCCTATGGAAGTCTGTAGGCGAGTCAGGTAGGCAGGAAATAATGGAGACTGAGCCGCAGGAAGTAATGGAGGTGGCCAATGCAAGTGTGCGTTGCTAATACCGCCCCTCAAGTTGAGGGAAAATACATACCGTCAACTTGCGCCTGAGATCAAAGAATGTAGAGTTGGGTAAGGCTTTGGTGAAGGTGTCGGCGATATGGTCAGCAGAGGAGATGCTTAGGTAGATTTTAATTAAAATTGGGAGAGAATTATTTAGGAAAAGAAATCCAAGTTGGATTCAAATTGGGGAGGGAATCAATTGAGGAAAGTGACTTATTTAGGAGGTAATTAGAGGAGCCTATTTAGGGCTAACCATGTTGTATTTTTAGCATTATGTGATTTGTGTTTGCTATAGTCTTTTTTTTTTGTGAGTTTCCTAACGATGTCTAGGGTTTATGGGAGAACCAATCTACCTTTTAAATAGTAGATCTATTGTATCTTGCATTGCTTTTGAAGGATAAATCAAAAAACAACATTATCTTTGTGTTCCTATGCTTTTCTCCACTTTTGTTTGTTGTTTTTTACTTTCAAGATGCATTAGACTAATTCAGGAGTTTTGTATAGATTTTTGATAGAGAAGTTTTTGTAATGGATGCTTATATTTTTCTTTGGTGAAAATGGGTGAGGACTTCCAAATCTGGACTTTTGAGTGTTAGTTAACTAATAAAAGTAATTTTAGGTCAATTTGATGTGGGGTAAGAAGTTATAAAATTTTTAGTAGAATTGGGGGACAATAGGAATTGTAATAATGTGGAAGTGGCATGACTTAGTTTTCTTGAGGGTTATAATGCTTTGAGGCCTTGAGAAGATGGTGGAGATGTTTGGGAAGTTCTAATGATGAATACACAATAGATGATGACACTGGAATGAAGAGTATAAAAGTAGCCAAACTAACTAACTTCTCTCATCAACAAAAAATAAAATGCTTTGTCACCAAACTCCAACCAGAAGGCAAATAATTAACAAATTTTTATTAAAACCACAAAAAAATAGATTTCATTCATTTAAAAGTAATATTTAGGGCTGCAAACAAATCGAGTCGAGTCGAGCAGGTGCTTGTTCATGTTTGAGCTCATTATTATCAGCTTGTTCAAACTTGGTTCAAGCTTGATTCGAGATTTTATGTTTGTGTTCAAGTTTGGTTCATTTTAAATGATAGATGTTCATGTTTAATTTGTGTTTAGTTCATGTTCGGTTCATTTTGTGCTTATCGAGGTTTAAGAAAATGAGCCTTATCGAACCTATTAACAAGCAATTACCTAGTGCTTGTTTGCGAAAATATCTAGTTAATGTTTTTGACCTACCAAATGAGCCTGTTCATAAACATATCTATCGAGTGCTTGCACACTACCAAATGAGCCCGTTTACGAACAAATTGGCTTAAAAATGATTCTTCCGATAACAAGCTTGTCTATGAACATTTTAATTAAACAAATAATATAGTAAACATGAACAAATACCTCTTCTTCATGAACATATTTATTTTATTAGAAAAGTATAACATAAAAATGAAATTAATTTTTTGAAAAATAAGAATCATTTATTATACAACAACAACAACAACATCAAGCCTTTATCCCACTACATGGGGTCGGCAAGAATCATTTATTATACAACAACAACAACAACATCAAGCATTTATTATAATAAAACTAAAAATTATGTTGAAAAATATAAATAAAGGTTTAATCAAGCTTCTTAACAAGCATTATATCGAGCTTCTTATTGAGCTTATTTATGAGCTTTAATTGATATTGTTCATGAACATAATGAGTTGAACACAAAGTTTGCTTATTTAACAGTCAAGTATTTCAAAACTTGTTCAAGCTTGTTTGATTACTTAAACAAACAATCATCAATGAGCTATAATTGAGTTGAGGCACGAGTAACTTGTCGAACTGCTGATTCATTTGTATCCTTAGCATTATTTAAAAAGTGTATCAATTCTAAATAATTCAAAAAAAAAAAAAAAAAAAAAGAAAAGAAAAAGGAGTGAGATGGTTAACTAAAAGTAGTGAGAAGAGAGGGGGGGGGGGGGGTGGGGGGGGGTGTGGGGGGAGAGATTGCAACCACTACAACCATCTCCTATTTTTAAGAGTTTCAATTTTTTGGGGTGGGAAGTTTTAAATTTGATTGTAACTTTTTTAGTCTAATTTCTCCATGCTTTTGATTAATATTTTGCTTGAGTAGCCTTGATCTTGATTGATACATTTTAGTTCTTGATCTTTTGATGGGGCCTTCATGATTCACATAATATTCTATGTCAATTATTTTTCTTTTTACACCCCTCAATCTTTTAATTTACGCTCACGCTCACTATAAATCTAAAATCTTTCTGTTCTTGACAGAATAGCTGATATTGGTGCAGTTGTTAAGTGGCTTTTCAACTCATGAAAATTATTTTCACTGTTTTGACAATTCAAACTCAACATCTTTTCTCATTTGCTCAAACAATGGCATAACTATTGTGAAAATTTCTTAACAAATTTCCAGTGATATCTGACTAGACCTACAAAACTACTATAACATTTTTTAGTGTAGACCATTCTAAAATTATTTTTACTTCCTAAGAATCCACTGGGATTCTTTCATCACTTGCTATATGTTATAAAAATGCAACACTTTTTTTATTTTTATCTGGTAACTATCCCTATCTACCTTTTTTATTCTATTAGGTCTATATTTGTTGGTCAAGCTGCAGCTAGCCTTTATTATTCTTTCAATTTTGGCTCTCTATACTTTTCTCTTTTTCAGTTTTACAAGTTGCTTTATTTCGACTTTTTTACCTGCTGTGTGCTTTGTATAGAAATCGCACATGGAGGTAGTATGTTATGGAAAATCCTTTCTATTAATTTAAATAAATTGATAATCAACTTAAAATAAATTAGATTTTAAAAAAAAAATTAAAATTGCATTGCTTTAGAGTCAACTTCTTAATTAAAAAAAAAAAATATTTTTTATCTCCTTGAAGAGACAGAGTTTAGCTTGTTAGCCCTCCTCTAGTTGTCTCACATCTATAACATGGGCAGTTAAATGTATTCATATCATGTTCCCGAGGATAAAGCTATTGGCTTAATGACATGCTTTTAATTAAATACGCCTAAGTGAATGCTTGAACACTAGGATAAAGCTCTGGTTCCATTTTGGGTTATTTCGTTCACTTCTTTTTGTAGGTAATTCTTATACCAGTAAGGATTGTAAGTTATGCATTTTTTCAGATCATCCTCATAGATTTCATCTGTCTAGGAGTTTGTGTTTTCTTTTGTTGTTTTAATATCAAATGACTCCCTTTGGACAATGCAATTTATTGTTGATGGCAGAGCATTGTGTTTGTCCTTGCTGGATTTATGACATTGATGATCTTGGACCCCTTTTCAACAAATTGCTTTCATGAATTTCTTAGGGCTTATATGATTGTTCGCACACATTGTTATCATTCACTTATGAGAGCATGCAAGTATAAATGAGATCATCCTTATCTTTTTTGTTTATTTTCTTTTTATTTTCTTTTGTTTTGATGAGATCATCCTTCCTTAAAATTATAAGCACATTGCGCCTGAAAGATCTTTTTTTTAAACACTTTCTTAGGTTTCCCAGTCAAAACTCTCTTTCCTAGCAGCTGCAGATTCTACTCCTTTTTTAAGTATATTATCCTCATCAAGAGCGGCCAACAGTGGCCTTCTTATAGTTGGACCTGAAGGAGGTAAAACAACTTTCTCTCTCTCTCTCTCAGTTACAAGATTTTAGACGAATATAATGAAAGATCTTGTTTTTAAGGAAAATATTTGTTGAAAGTTTTGAGATGGAAGTTTCAAATGTGTTTATAATAATGGTTTTTTTTGGCTGTCTTGACATTGAGTTTATCGAATCCTATGAATAGCCAAGCTAATTATTTAGCATAATTTCATCACAATAGCCAAGCTAAATACCCCTGTTCTCTCTCTCTCTTAGCTTAAATTATGCGTTTGAGCTTATTTTCTACTCTGTATCTGTATAGTTTTATTTCCTTCTTGCATTTGTATGCCTTCACTTTGAAATTATGCAGAATCGTATTTGTCATAATAATCTGGTTAAAGCATTTGCATTCATATCAGATTTTACGGAGGAGGAGGTGAAGTTGATGGTGGATGCAGGTGCAACTCCTGTGGGCCTGGGCCCATGCCGCCTTCGAGTAGAGACGGCTACCATTGCAATGCTGTCTACTGTGATGCTGTGGTCTGATGCCCTTAAATTGGAGACTTGATGAAAGTTTTGCGCACAGTAGCTCCCCATCTAATCGTAGGCCTTCACTAAAGTTGAGCATTTCCTTGAGCTTGCTTTCTTCATCAATGTAAGACTCCTCCGGCCCTCCTTTCGGGCTCTGCGCTTTTTTCTACATGATGTTTTTATTATGAACATTAATACGTTCTAGTAAAATATATGCAGCAGTAATTGAATATTAAATATAGGATTGACAACATATAATATTTAGGAACCTAGTATAAGTAATAGGTATAACGCCTCTAACAACAAAAGATACCTTTATCACTTAATAAATAATAGTTAGTTACCTCACACAAATGACACGAAACTCTGAGTCCATTTGATATCCAACTAATCACATCATGTGAGAATTAATTTAAAGGCCCCACAGATTCACAATCCTAAGTGAATCACATAAGCAGGCACAATTATTGAAGATCAAAAGCTAATTGTGATACACATGTGATAGGAAACCACCGTAGATCTCAAGTAAATCTTATAAAAATCTGAATTTCAGCGAAACTTCAACACAAATCTCCGAATTGATGAAAATAAAAAGAAAATATCAAGACACAATTGATCGTCTATTCTAGAGGAGGATCTTTCTCTCCCAACTCTCTAGATGTTGCTAGAGCCCAAGAACACTCAGGAAACTCGGAATTTCAACAATAATCAAGATAACCCTAATACCCCCTCTCTCTACTTAAGTTGTGGACCCCACCTGGATGAAAACAACAGTCTTCCGCCTGTTGTATACAAGAGGACAGTCCTTATTTCGGGCCGGTTGGACCGGTGTATCAATATCCCGCTCTCAAAGATTCACCTTGTCCTCAAAGTGAAAAGAGAAAAATTGATATTGCGTCATCTCGTACAGCTCCCATGTAGCGTCATAATCGGGAAGGTCCCTCTATTTAATCAACACTTCTTTGATCTCTCATTCTCCCTGGCGTAACCCCTGTAGCTCTAGTGGTTCTAGAACCACTTTCAATTACTCAGTCAATGTAGCCTGCAACTCTGATTAAGCTGTATAATCCCCAATAGCTCTTCTCAACTGAGATACGTGGAACAATGGATGTATGGTAGCAGTGTTGGGTAACCTCAGATGATAAGCTACTGCTCCAATCTTCTCTGATATCTCATAAGGGCCAAAATATCGGAGCCAACTTCTCGCTCCTATTAGATAACGTCCTATGTTTGTAACACTACCGAAAATTCATCCTTTTACGGTGGAATAATCCGATGCAAATGCAAAACAAGAGGTTGAATTTCCTGTAGTGTTACAAACATAGGACGTTATCTATAGATTCCCAAGAGGAACACTCGTCTACTACAGCCTAGCTCGAAATCTTGTATACTCATCCTACAAAATATAACATAAGATTAATCATCGTATAATCATCATTGATAATATTTTTGTAAGTATAATATCCTTATATACTTATATATGCCATCCTAGCTCACTCATCCACTCACTGCTGGTCCTCTTGACGCTTATGAGTGTGAATGCGTAACTCAAGTGCAATGAGTTCTTTATCATGCATATCTTTCTACAATATACTTAGATTAATATGCATAAAAAAGTTATTAAAATCTACTAAAAATTTTACCAATCTTTGTCCATGCACAGTGTGGAATTGAGCCTCCAATATGGAGGGAGCTAGCCAGGCCCCCGATGTCAGAAGCTCGGTTCTATATGTTATACACCCTCCTCACTGTAAAATATGGGCCGCCTTAGGTACTATTGAGCTCTGCTCATATACCCTCTCCAATCCAAAGCAATCACTGGACTGCCCTCCTAATGCAAGTGAACATGTCTTGCAGGCAAGTTGCTCCGCGTTTCTCTATATTTATTTTGATTCGAGTATCATGCTTGTGCAACCGATAGAAATCTCGATGCATATAACAAATTAGTAAAAAAAAAAATTCTTTATTAGCGTAATAAAATATTAAGAGATGGTAATGATATTGCATCTTACTAAACTCAAACTACTTAAGCCACATGTCACACAATTCCTTCGGGATTTTCTTCCAAGAGACATATGAAGCATCAAATCTACTCCGTATGATATCCCATATCTTGTACGTGGGCTGCTTTGATGAATAAAACCTACACAAAATATTTAGTTGAAAAAGATTATTTCTCAAATATATGTATAATATAAAACATACACATTTATGTATGTGTCACCCTCAGGCTGAATCAACATGCAGCCATTTGCAGTCGGCGCTGCGGCAGCCTACGTGGAAAGTCCAACTGTAGTCGGGGTAGAAGGTCCAGTTGCGTAGGGCTAAGGGGGTGGTGGGTAGTAAAATGATGGAACATATGTTGGATATAGATAAGTAGTAGGAAATTCCTAAGAAGATGGTGAGGGGTAGAACGGATAAAAAGGGAGCCATTTGCGTAAGAGCTGATGATAAAAAGGATCTGCAGACTAAAATGGGGGACTTCCCGCAGGAGGTGTAGTTAAAGGGGCTATGTTGGGTATGAGTGACAGGCTGTGAAAAATAGTTGAGTTGCCAGTTGTATAAGTAATGACACGCATGTATAGTTCTATAATTTTTTGGGATATAGTTCTATATTTAATTATGTAGATAGTGGAAAAAGTCTTGTGAGCCTTCCCCAGATAAGTTCTGTAAAGTTTGCCTTAACGCTCCTTGTTCACATGGTCTTTGCAGTCGGTATCTTCTGACTCTTTGTCCCTATTTTCATTTTTTCTGCATCCCAAAACTTTCTAGTGCAAAAAAGCAACATTAAAAAAAGTATGAGAAAATATCTAAATAATTCTTTGATTTTTTATAAAAGAATAAAATAATTATTAGCTATATTAAAAGATCATTTTATTCTCTTAACTTCTTAAAGATGAATTAAAATAATTTTGTTGTGAGATTATTTTCATTTTTATTTAAAATATTAAATTGGAGATCATTTTGATTATTTATAAAAAATCAGGAGGTAATTTTAATATTTTTTCTCAAATAAATATAAAATAATACCAAGGAAGACCGGAAAAGAAATATGGCGGTTGTCTAGTTGAGAATTAATTTGAAATTAATAAAGTCTCATTCGATAAACATTGAAAAAATGGCTGATGTTGACTTTGAACGTCTGATATGTTCTAGATTTTGAAATTAAAATTTTTTTATCAAAATGTTTATAATTGTTTTTCTTTTCAATCATTTTTCTATTAAATTATATGTTTATTTTTTAATAAATAAGAGAAAAGTAGGTGCACATATTTTAATGTATAACTAAAAATGTGAAGAAATTTAACATAGGAATTTATACGAGTATTTCCTTGTAGGATTCTCCACAAGAAATTTTAATGTTATTCTTTCAAAATAAAAGTGTTTTTTAGCAGCAATACATTTAGCGTAAAAGGTAGTTGGTATATATTGGGCGATTATCAAACAAATATGTGAACCCATACCTCTATTGAAATTAATCAATTCACTTTAAAAACAGAAATGAAGTTTTGTAGAAGTTTGATGACTGGAATTTGTTATACACCATGCTGAGCAGAGAACGTGGAAGCTCACACTCAGAGCACGGAGGAATTATTAGGTTCGGACACTGAACGTAGAGATACATCCATATATCCAATTAAAATTTGCCATGTGGGCTGTGCTTTTGGTGCACTTTTTGTCTGCGTTTTGATTGTGCTTTTTGACTGCACTTTGGCTGTGCTTTATCTGCACTTTACGAGCACTTTTGATACGCTTGGCTTAAAATTATGCGGACACATTTAATTTATAAAGTAAAAAATAAATTTAATTGAATATTCACATGTACACTCCACGCATCAATATTTTATTGGAGTCCGGACGTATCTCTATGTTCGGTGTCCGGACCTAATAATATTTCCGGAGCAGGAGGCGAAAAAATAAAGCTGCAATATAGTTAATACTTAATATGAACCGTAGAAATACTTTCATATAAACCGCAAATATTAAACTTACCGCTATGTATGTATACAGTCATACAGAAGAAGACATACAAAAATAATACACTTTTACTCCAGCTCTCCAGCGTTATTCTTCAATATATATATCTTCTCTTCTCTGTTTTTTTTTTCATGAACTCTCTTCTCTGTTTTTGATACTGTAGGTCTACAAAGTGTAGGGTTTTTATTTTATTTTATTTGAGAAGTCTAGTGTTTTATTGTAAATTTTATGTACATTACTACATGAGATGTAATTGTATTGACGATGCATTGTCCTTATGAATTAAACTATATGGCATCCACGCGTTTCGCATTTGACTAAATAGATAAATTCAACCAAGAACACTTTCTCTTACTGGGGCTTGGGAGAGAGAGAGAGAGACGATGAGGGTGGAGCAGCTACTGGAGAAGATGAAGGCGAAGGTTTTGGGGTCGCTGGGCAGAAAGAAGAAGAGTAAGGAGTCATACTCGAAGATGGACAAGACTGCGAGCATCAAGGTGGAGATTCAAAGCAGGAAGGCACAACGCCTCATTGAGAAGACGCTCGTCGCTGCCGATCGAGCCGGCAAGCCCTCCCTCTCGCTCCCACCCAATCATCGTTCACCTCTAGCAGCTTAAAAAGATTTATTGATGTCCACATATTCTTAATTTATCCTCTTTCTCCTACATGTGTACGTGCTACTTAATATATACAAGCCAATGCATAATTACTTAATTCCATACCTTTACTCTTACTGCTACATATATGTACGTCTATAGAAGATAATTCAGATAAAAATCTTTGCAAATTCCTCAATTAAAATTTATATTTTCTTTTAATGATATGTTGATCCAGATCCGAATTTCTGAAAGCCTGAGCTAGCAGCTCTTAGTTGGCACGCGGCTTTCTTTAGAGTTGAAGGAGGGTGTTGGAAATGGTGCTTGGAGTCTTGGAGAACCAACCTCATTAATCTATTCTAAGAGTTGGGAATCAATATGCATGGATGGATACGAAAAGAAAATAAAAGAAACAAGTCGCTTGTAAAGCAATATCTTCCTTAAAATGATTTAAAATAGAGATTTATGAGGTGGCTTTCAAGATGCAACTTTACACATCTATTTTCATCTGGATCAATCTTTATTAAATGTTTATGATAATTTGGATCAGGTTTAGTAAATTGCTAATTGGGAACATATTTCAATCACATATATAAAACTGGAACTATTTGCCAACTTTTGTTTAATTCGATCCTACATATTAAGCTATTGAACTTGCTTAATGGATTCAATCAATTGAGGCTACTCCTAAAATAACTTAACTTGAGCAAAATACTCATTAATTGATTGAGGGTTTTGGTCAAAAGAACTCTCCCTCAATTCAAAATTTTGTTCCAATTAAGTTGTTGACGGCAAGTTAACTGCTAGCCTAACTTGTACACAACATAATTAATTATAATGTGATGCAATATCAACACGAGGGCCAAGGATAATATCACAAATCAAGGCATTGCTTTAAGATTTGGACTATTTATCGTATGCAGTTCTCAATGCAAGTTATAGATAACCCTCTCATCCTTCCAAAATGATTGGATAAGAAGCTTAATTTGAGGTTTTCTGATACTTAGTTTGGCCATACTAGCCAAGAAAGTGAAGATCTTGAAAAATTGTTTGATTTAGATATCACTCCACCTATATCTTTTTCTTGGATGAATTTTTTTGTTTTTTGTTTTAGCATTAAATTTATGTTATTCTCTTATTTTTTTCCTTTTGCACTAGAATAAGCGGACAATCAATATAATATTATTTTATTGGCTCATATGATTTTTCAAAATTGTATAAGCTTGAAATATTTCTATAAATTTGTACTCGTGAATTTAATTGAATGAAATTATTTTTTACTTGTGTAAATTTTATGTGAAAATATTTTCTGATTGTTTTATTCTTTGGTAAAACTCAGTGATTGATCTCATAGGATTTTAGTTATCCTTTAGTTTTTTTTTTTTTAATTTTTTTTATAATAATTTTATTTTATTTAATATGTACTCTTTTCCAATATAATTCTTATACTCTTTGCATAAGGGTCAACCAATCAAAATCGTAGCCTCCCTCGACCCTAAGATATATTAAACCTCTTCAAAACTCTCATATGCATTCTCCCACAATCCATACAATTGCTTGATCCCTTATCCCTCATCAACCTCAAGATATTCAAGTCAAAGGCCCATTGCAAAGAGACAATTTTTTGCTATGATAAAAAGTGAATCAAAATGTATAAAATCACCCCAATCAGTTCCGAACTTCTCAAATCAGTGACATGGAGTTTCTCAGTATTTATCTCCTAGAAAACTTTTCATTTCAAAGTCTAGAAGCTTTACTACTAAATTTATCCAAACTTTGAATATCATTGTACCTACTTCCCACATAAACTTTCCACCACCACTTTAAGGGAATACAAATCAAGTTGCTTCCTTCCCCATCAAGATCTTATATACACGCTGAGTTTAAACTACTTATTTAGGGTGATGAATGATGCATGATTTTTTTTTTTTTTTTGCCTAAATATATTTGTTGAGTTCTGAATGATGCATGATAAATCATAAAATATGCCATCGGAACTCAAAACTTTGGAGAAACATCACATAGGTCCTTTAATATATGAATATGTTTATATAACTGTATTATGTATCCAACATCGTGATCTGATTTTGGACTTCACTTATCCAAAAGTGCTGGGAGGGCTCAAATTGAATACAAGGCAAAACAAGGGACACATAAGCTCCATCCTTCATGAACACGAGACAACTGCCAACAAGTTTCAAAACCAAGACACATGGACAACTTTGCTGCTGGATTGAGCCAAATAGTCAGTAATAAAAGGGATTATCCTTAGTACCCAAAATCCTAGGCTCCCCATAATAATTATAAATATTTGAAGTAGAACAAAAGAAGTCAAAGACACATAACCCATAGAACCTTATCAATAACTGGGGGAGTGAGTAAAGTTGCAGCAAGAACTATGTCAGTGATTGCGTATAAAAATGCAAAAGAGTGAGTCCAAAAACAATAACAACAGTGGACATCCAATTCTCATAGAAAAAGCCAAGCTCATAATGAAAATGATGCATAGTAAGGGACTCATAAGCTCCATACAATGGCAACATGAAAAAGAGTTCTTCATTGGATTGCAAAACCAACTAGTTGTTAGGACATTAATGGATGATAGTGGCTAATATTTTGGTGAGATTAATGACTAGCAAAGGTTATTAATATGTAGTTTGATTTATATAAGTGTCTTGGAGTTTATATGATGGAATGATGAGTGGTATAAATAAGTATATTAGTTGCAATACCAAGATTAGTTCAATTTGGACTGATTTAGAAGATCACTTTAAGGAGTGACTTTTATGTGGGATAAATAGTAGAAAATGATGGTGGAAGATTAGCTTATCCAATTAAAGAAGGTGATGTTTCAGTAAACATGAGTGCTCCAGTTGACAATTGATTTTTGAATGAGATTTGTTATTGCATTTTGCATTAGTGCTGGAAGATTAAATTAACCTTCTTTGGTTGTTGGCTGGTCTAGCAATCATTGAGATATGTGCTGGTTAATTATATATTTGGTTTATCTACTGGGTAACATCATTACTATAATTTGATTAGCTATGTTAACTTATATATATATATATATATATACAAAATACCCTATAACATTTATTAATTCTGTATGTTGGTTGCTCGTTTGGATTGCAGTTGTGGTTATGTAAGTAAAGGCCATTTTGCTCCCAGGTTCGTCCGGACGAAGTCGGATCGTCCGGGACGATCGGTACAGGTTGTGCAGGAAAACATGTTTGGCTGCATGGTTCGTCTGGACGAAATTTGGATCGTCTGGACAAAAATTTTACAGAGCCCGGTCGTCCAGGGACGTTAATTAATTTCGTCTGGTCGAAATTCGTCCAGAGCCACTTCATCCCGGGACGAAGTTGCGATCGTCC